CCATAGGCTCGAGACAGGGAGGGGGACCTGGGGTGACCCCCACGCCCCCCCTCACACCACACCACGGGAGCTGCCCGTGCTGGGCCCGGGTTGCACAAGGGGCACCAGGAAGGGGCCGGGCTGTGTTTGCTCGCCCCACGTCGCTCCCCTTCCCGGCAGTGCTCCGGCCCTGGGGGGGGCCAAGGGACCCCCCTGGGCTCGGGGGGGTGCTGGGTGACCCTGTCAGCCTTGGCACCGCCGGGCTGGAGCTGACCAGCCCTCCCATGAGCCAGCCCTGCCTGACACACGCTGCCTGTGCCCGGGGAAAGGGCAAACAGGGCTCAGCAATCAATCCCTGCACCCCACTGCGGGGCCAAGGCTGGGGGAGCTGCAAGGCCACTGCTGAACTGTGGGACCCTGCATTTACAGCACCTGCAGTTTATGTAGGTTGTTAAAAGCCTGAGCCCACTGCTGTGGCTGTTCCCCAGCCTCACAACACCCCTCCAGCCAGGAATTACTGAGCAAGTCCTCTCTCTAGGAGGTATTTTAGATTACTTACAACTATCAGCTATGCATTCTAGCAGCATCCACAGCTCAAAGGCCACTTTAGCACAGCAAGGCTGGGCTGAGAGAAACCACAAAGCCCCAAGGACACCACAGGGAGCTCAGCTGTAAACAGTAAAAAATCCCAAATTTCATGGCTTAAGGAATCCCATGAAGCTGCCGTAGGGCCAGCTCTGGCACGGGGCAGGACACTGGCACCAATGCAGTGATGAAGGAGATGGTGGGTGGTTTGGTTCAGTTCTGATTTTAAGTGGTGCAGCATGATCAAAACAGAATGGTTTGGGTTGGAAGAGACTTTTAAAGGTCATCTGGTCCAACCACCTGCACTGAGCAGGGATATCTGCAGCTACAGCAGGTTGCTCAGAGCCCCATCCAACCTGACCTGGAATGGTTCCAGGGATGGGGCAGCGACCACCTTTCTGGGCAACCTGGGCCAGGGGCTCACCACCCTCAGCATAAAAATGTCTTCCTTCTATCTAGTCTCAATCTCCCTCTTTTAGTTTAACACCATCACCCCTTGTCCTGTTGCAACAGGCCCTGCTAAAATGTCTGTCCCCAGCTTTCTAATAGGCCACTTTAAGTACTGAAAGGCCACCAGAAGGTCTCCGTGGAGCTTTCTCTACTCCAGGCTGCCCCAGCCCAACTCTCTCCTGCTGGGCTCCCAGCAGAGGGGTTCCAGCCCCCTGATCATCATCATAGCCCTCCTCTGACCCTCTCCAGCAGGTCCCTGTCTCTGCTGTGCTGAGCACTGCCAGCCTGTACAGGGGCCTTGTCCTGCTGTGCACATTGAAGGGCAGCACCAGGTCATGGCCCCATCCCCAGCAGCCCCATTCAGCCCCCAGCCCCTGGAGAGCCCACGGAGAGCCCAGCACCTCTCTCGGGGAGGAGTGAGGTGTGTGTGGACCCAAAGTCCTCCCAGCACCCAGGTGAGCAGCCCCCACCCAACCAGCACCATGGGGATTCATGTGCCCCGTGGAGGAAAGCCACATCCAGGTGCCAGCCGGTGCCCCCGAGGCACCAAGCCCACCTGGAGCTGGCCGAGCTCTTTGCCAGCACCACAGAACTCTGGAGTTGGTGAGAACAAAAACCTGTGTTGGTGAAATGTGGGGTTGGGGGTTTTTTCACCATTTCCGCTGAGGAAATCTAAGCTTTTGCAAGTTTAATTTCCTCCCCCTGCTATTGCTTCATGCCTGAGCAAACAGCCCAGCTG